TCTCTCTCTCTCTCTCTCTCTCTCTCTCTCTCTCTCTCTCTCTCTCTATTGGGCTTTGTCCCGCTCGCGTGCCAATTCACACTTCTAATAGTGAATTTACGACGCTCGACCTATTTCAACTTGTGCAACACAGAGTGAGAGCACATTCCCGCTATGCAATAGCGTGTGTTGAAAAATTGCATGGAGCAATCGATGAGCACCAAAATCACACGGAAAAATAGGTCATCACTATGGTTTGGTCCCATTTCGTCATATCATCCAATGTTTTGATTCAATGTGGAATTAGGTCTCGTTCAAGTAGATACACACGCACATTTTTTTTTCTGCTCTGTCATAGATTGTATTGGCGAGCGAGCGATGCGCATGCAATGAGTCACGACAGTGATGACGATAATTCTCTCTCAATCGAGCAATCGAGAGGAGGAAAATAATTGCGACGATTGAAATTACGAATAAATTTTCAATAGATTTGCCGTAAGATGTCGAATTGAATCGCATTGAAATCAATTTCCTCTTGTTAAATTATGTAATGGAACAGCTCTATTGATTGCATTCAATGGGTAATTTATTTATTTCAACAAGCAATACTTGAAATTACACGAAAACATCGGAATTACTTGCCCGTTACTTGCTTTACGTAAAGCATTTCTCTTTCAAAATAACCAAAATTACCTAAACTCCAAAATAATAGCAACGAAATAGAGAGAGAAAAAAAACTCCGATTTCTCACTGTACAAAACTAGCCAACGAGCATAGAAATTATTTCAGCAAAATACGATGAAAATAAAAACGGTGCAATTAACTTACATCAAGTTGAACGATTGTCGATAAACTTTTGTTTGATGCGTAGTTAGGCACGAACTGGATAACCAGATTGAACCAGTTAATACTCTCCGTCCGAAAAAAGCCAAACACAAAGGATTATTTTTTATTTAACTTCACTCTCTGATTATCTACTCGATTTTAATCATAAAAATCTTGCGAAGCACATTTTATTCTCTTTCCTGCGAACACCCAAAAAAAAATTACAGACTGATGCAAAGTATACAGCGGATGATTCAATATCTGCGCATCGAATGTACGCGAATCTACTGGAATATTACGTATTTTTGTTTATATTTTTATTGCTTTGCACGCTTTGTGTTGTGCTTCTTCTTCTTTTCAAGCCAATTTCATACGTAGTGTGCACACAGGTCGTTGTTTACGACCAAATAGTTTGCGTTCGACTGAAACACACCAAGTAAAAGTGGCCAATGCTTTTCTTTCGCATTTATTGGAAATACACAACAATTTTGCTTTTTTATTCGCTTTTTTTTACTTGCACTTCGAAACTCCCTGATTGGATTCCGTTTTTGCGTTCTGGTGCTGCTGCTTTGTGTAGTTACTTTGTTTTTATGATACTCAAACAACACACAATGGCAGTGGATACAGCAGCGTTCACTGAATACAACGTTGATGCTACAACTGTGATGTTTGATGTAGTGGTGACGTTCATTACACCACTGAACACATGCATCACCAACACAGGTACACTTTCCAACACAACACACTGATACGATGTGAACGTGGAAAATCAGCTGTGGCTCTGTACAGTTAGTGAATGACCGTGCTGTTCACCGTCAAATTTACTTTGGTGTTTGCATTCCAATTGGAAGCAAATTTCAAATTTTGTGTTAAAATGAGGAAATTACGCAATTTTTTTTTTTTGATTTTCAATGAAATTATTGAATAAGTATGTAATAGTAATGGAAACAGTGTCAGCAAAAAACAATAAAAGTCGTAAAATTTTGTTTCATCACAGAGAAAATGTGCGAAATCGTGAAAAACTACACTTTGTCTAGCTTGTAAACCGAGCTTTATGTCAATCGCTTGTACGAACGACATATTGCGTCTGGCAACACCAGTCGTTATAGTATGTATGTTACAATGGTATTTGACGTTGACGTGTCGTGAAAACGTAGAACCTATCGCCAATAACATTTTTTTGCCTAATCGATTCGATTCTGTATGAGAAGAGCTCAGTCGTCGGCGCTCCAAAACTAACGTTCCAAATTAAATTAATTACAATAAATTCGAGTCCAGACAATAGACACCCGTCAAAATGTATCGAAATCCATTTTATTTGTTAGCTATTTTGAGTATTACGCTAAATTGTGTGACCGGTTTGTACTTCCATTTGGCCGAAGGAGAACGAAAATGCTTTATCGAAGAAGTGCCTTCAGACACTATGGTTACAAGTAAGTTGACTTTGCAAGTTCAAGTGCATTTGAATTCGAATATAAAAAGGGAAATGATTTTTATTCTGAAACTAATTGATATTCCGTTTCTATGCAGCACATTACAAAATTGAGTTGTATGATTCACGCTCAGGCGGCTTTGCACCACCAAGTTTAGGTAAATGTCAACATTAAAATCAAATGAATCGATTAGAAACCACTATTCGATGCAACCGACTAAATGGTTTTTCATTTTCTAGGCATTGGAATGCATGTTGAAGTGAAAGATCCAGATGACAAAGAAATCTTGTCTCGTGTGTACAGTGCCGAAGGTATGTCAAAATTAAAACACTTGTGCGTTGTGCGTGGCATATATGATGAAAAATATCGTATGGTTTTTTCTAGGTAAATTCCCATTCACATCACACACACCGGGCGAGCACACCATTTGCTTGTATTCAAACACATCGCAATGGTTCAGTGGATCCCAATTGCGTGTCCACTTTGATATTCAAGTTGGTGAACATGCCGTTGACTATGCTCAAGTGGCACAAAAGGAAAAACTCACCGAATTGCAACTCCGTATCCGTCAATTACTCAACCAAGTAGACCAAATCACCAAAGAACAAAACTATCAACGCGTATGTTTCACACGAATTTTCCCATTTTTCCCCGTTATTTTTTCCTGAATTTGCTCAGAACCATTGATTAAATGCGTTTTCTTTCTTCCATTGCAGTATCGCGAGGAACGTTTCCGTCAAACGAGCGAGAGCACAAACAAACGAGTATTGTGGTGGTCATTGGCTCAAGTTATCGTTTTAGTCGCTATGGGCTTCTGGCAAATGCGTCATCTCAAGACATTCTTCGAAACGAAGAAATTAGTTTAAGACTTTAAAAAATCCATCAAACATTTTGCTAAACGAATATTTTGTGATCCATTTCCATAATCGAAAAGTAAACACAATTTGTTCAATTTTGTAACGGGTTTCTACATCCGATTCGATACCGTATTTCTTTGTTTTTTTTTTTGGTACTCTAAATGTTCATCATCTGTCAGCGTGGCGATTTAAATTTAAATTTTCTTATGTTCGAATGAATGATTTGAATGAAAATAGTGAAATAAAATGAAAGAAAAATATGAAGAAACAAAACTGTAATTTATGAAATCGAATAAAGATGAATCTTTGTTTGGCATTGGTACAACTCAATGCATAGGTAAATTGGTGCCATTCATTTGTCTTTCTTTATGGAAAATTCTCAATTTTTGGAATAGATAGGCATTCGGGGTATGAAAAACAGATCATCAGTTGAAATTGATCCACGTTTTGTTAAAGTCACATGTGTCATCTGTCTAAAATCATGAGAATCTGTGGAAAAATCTTACTTTGTTGAATTAATTCATTCGAAAAACACTTGTGCAACAATAGAATTGTGTAAATTATGATTTCACATTTGCAGCCTGTTTATTCAGTTGTTTGAGTTATATTTGCTTTAGTTTTGTATATAAAACGAATTTTTGAAAAGTCAAGCTTTAAAATTCGGATAGCACGATCAAAAAACTTCAATAATTGGATCGATTTGATTGTTTCAAAGGTTATTTTCACAAGAAATCAAGTAATTACGACTGAAATTGTGACAACTTTCACTTCTCTAGCCATGGACATTGATTCAAATACACAAATGGTCCCCCAACTCTCATCGCCTTCGGTAGCTCAGTTGGTAGAGCGGTAGACTGTAGTGGTTATAC